TATGAGATTGGTTTCGGTGTGTCCGGTGTTATGGCTGTGCAGGACAGCCGCTCGTGGGAGGTAACTCGTGACCTCTGTAGGGCCTCGTGACCTCCTTGGGAGGCATGGTACCCTAGTTTAACGCATGGTCCATTCACTTTTCTGCTGCAAGCTGCCGGGTTCTGGATTAAGTCTTTTGCCTCTGGAGCCATGGCAATGCCAGAGAGCCGCTTGTGGAGGGCAACTCGTGACCTCAGTAGGGCGTGAAGGACGAGCCAGTACCGCCCTCCTTCCCATGAGACTGCAGTTGCCCCGTCACCGCCGGCTCAAACCTGGCTTTCCAATACGCTCTGAGGTGGCAGCCACCTTGCTGCCGGGGGTGGGGGGAAGACGGAAGGGAGAAACACCATTTCCCTCCTGGGGAGGAATGGCGCCATACTTTAACGCATGGTCCAATCACTTTTCTGCCGCAAGCTTCCGGGCTCTGGATTAAGTCCTTTTCCCTCTGGAGCCATGGCCGTGCTTGTGGGGGGCAACTCGTGACCTTGGTAGGGCGTGAAGGATGAGTCGGTACCACCCCCCTTCCCATGAGACTGCAGTTGCCCCGTCACCGCCGGTTCATATCTGGCTTTCCAATAAGCTCTGAGCCGGCAGCCCCCTTGTATGCAGTCCAGATGCATTTCTGCCAAAAGCCACTGGGTTTCAAGATTTGTTTCTGAGTCTCTGGTATCATGGCTATTAATAAGCTTGATCAGGAGCCAGAGAGGCCGTTTGTAGGCGGCGACTCGGGGTCTCATTGGGATGGGGAGAAAGAGTCGGTTCCACCCCCATGTGGTGAGGCCCCATGTGTCTCGTCACTGTAGGCCCAAACCTGACTGTCCAGTGGCCTCTGGAGGATGGTGGTCACCAGGCCGCCAGGGGGAACAGGCCAAGGCACGAAACCTATTCCCACCTGGAGTGTTCCAGCGCCAGCAACCTACTGCAGGAACAGGACGCATTTCTGCCAAAAGCCTTTGGGTTCCGAGATTCACTTTTGAGACTCTGGGATCATGGCCATTAAGCAGTTCCATCAGGAACCAGAGAGGCCATGCCTCCAGTTATATAGCTAAGCCAAAGGTGGTTTGTGGGCATATCTCCCACATACCTAACTTTTGGCCGTTTACTTTCTTGGTAAACTTTGCCCCAAGTTTTTGGGGTCTGTCCAAAGGTACAGCAGCAATTTTGGGGTATCTGGAAGTCTGAAGGCGCCATTAGGCTGCTGATGCACTCGCCTCACAGGTACAGATTGACCTGCTGGCGGCACCATACCCCCAAAATGTGTACAATTTTTGTGTACTGACTTTGTAGCTAGCCAGTGTGCTGTATTGTTGACATTCAGGATCTATAAAATACTCACAAAGATCAGCAACAAAAAAATCCCCAAACCTAACAAAAATGGAAAGAAAAAATGAACAGGGAATTCTATGTATAAGAAAAAACAGAGGGCCTACAAGTCCATAAAAAATACTCACCATAAATTATGATTAGGGAAATCCACCTCAATATGGCCCTGAAATATCATCTTATGCCAATGAGAATGACACATACCAAAAATAGTTGTAACAATCCGTGTTGGCTGGGATGTGATGACAAAGGACTTTCATCCACTGCTGGTAGGAATGTTATCTGTTTCAGTCCTTATAGAAAAGAGTATGGGAGAGTTTTCAGTAAATTTTAAATTGAGGTACTTTACAACTCAGCAGTTCCACTTTTGAGTATCTACCCCCAGGACAGAAAAACATCCATTCAAAAGGATGTATGCATAACATTATTCATTGCAGCACTCAGTGCAATAGCTAATATTGGCAGTTAACATAGATGTCCAACAGAAGATCAGTGGCTAATGAAGATATGGTATATATCCACAATGGAATACTAAACAGCTGTAAACCAAATTTATAAAGTGTCTGTCAAAATGGCAGACCAGGACTGGGATGAGCAGTTAGGAGAGGAAACCTAGGAATACTGGCGGAGAGGGAAGTTGACATTGGTGGTGGTACTGATGATGGAACATTCTATGTCAAACACCCAGTTGTGAACAACTTTGTAAGTGCCTTAATAAAAAGAAATTAAACAAACAAAAAACCATAATCTTCCTTTTACACAACTTTTATCTCTCTTGATGTAAGCACTGACTCCTCTGTCCTTTACCAGTTATTACAGCCTAGAAAACAATGTGTAATGAAGAGTATCACTAGAGATTGTAATAAGAATTCCATCTTTTGGATATTGTGACTGATGCTTCTAGGAGTGGGGGTGGAAATACCTTTCCAAAATGTTCTATCCATTTCTTTTGGGTTTCTGCCCAGCAGCAGTACTGCTGGATCAAACAGAATTCCTATTGTTATTTATTTATTTTTAATTTTTATTAGTGAAACACCATGAGGTACAATTGTAGACTTACAGATTATTGTGCATGGGTTTCTATCATACAGTGATAAAATACCCATCCCTCCACCAGTGCCCATTTTCCACTACCACGGGTCCCAGTATCCCTCCCTCCCCCCATCCTACTGTGCTTCTGTGGCAGGGCATTCCCTTTTGTTCTCTCTCTCCTTTTGGGTGTTGTGGTTTTCAAAAGAGGCATTGGGTGGCAATCATGTTTGGTCTATACTCTACTTTCAGCATGCTTCTCCCATCCTGGGAAGATCCTCCCAACACCCTTTATTTGGTGCTCCCTTCTCTATCTGAGCTCCCTTTACCCGTAGCATGTGTGGCTGGCCTCCAAACCATGCATAAAATGGGGCATCGAAATGATCAGAATCTTTCTCAAAGAAGAAATCCAAATGGCTAAAAGGCAAATGAGAAAATGCTCTAAATCATTAATCATCAGGGAGATGCAGACCATTGTTATTTTTTAAAGGGTTCTCTGTACTGAAGGTAGAGTTTTCACCAGGTATTATGATTATTGTTATTACAATCTCTGGTGTTACTGCACTAGGTGCTTATGGACATTGTGATATATGTGAAGATTTATGAAATGGGAACTCTGATACCAGCAGTACCAGTTATGGCAGGCATTTAAAGTCACACAGTAGAGTAAGATATGGAGAAAGTCATGCTCTGGAACAATCATCTGTCAGTTTTTGAAAGGCATTCATACTCAAGGTCAATGGGTTTTAATCGGGGAGCCCATCAAACTAGAAGTGATTCTGGCATGAAACAGGATGAAAGTCATGGGAAGGAACATCATTGGTTTGCAAAGAAAGAAAAAACAATTGCTGATGAATATAGGGAAAGGAGTGAAGAGTATAGGGAAAGGTATAAATGATCTAATTGAGGAGTCTAGGAAAAATAAGCACCAATTGATGGAATTTGGTAAGTTAGAAGGAAAGCCATCTTGGGAAAGAAGATGGTACATGTGTTTTGGTCACTGAATTTGAGGCAAGAATAATATTGTCAAGTGAGCCAGTTGTAAATCTGGTGAGAGGTCAGGATTAGGTATTCTAAGACTAAAAATTCTAATCAAGGAATGGATGTGATAAACTAAAGGTGAATGAGTGAATGACTAAGAAATACGAGAACATCAGAGACAGCTGAAGACAGGGTGTGAAGAACTCCATGGGTTGAGAAAGGCGAGAAACATGAAAACAAGGAAGGGGAAGCTAGAGAAACCAAAATCAGTAGATGAAGCATTTTATGTGTGTGGTGGGGAGGACGGGACACACCCAGCAGTGCTCAGGGCTTACTCCTAACTCTGCACTTAGGAATTACTCCTAGTGGGCTCAGTGTAACGTAGGGGATGCTGGGGATCAAACCTGAGTACAAGACAAATGCCCTACCTGCTGCTGCACTATTGCTCTGGTCCCCCGATGAAGCATTCTTAAACATGAGACCTCATACTGGCTTCATAACCTATTCTCTCTTGGTGAAGAGGAAAAAGAGTCAGGATTTCTATAATTTCCATAACTATTGAAAGTATCATTGATCATCAAAGGGGAACATTCTTTACTTCTTGGGGTATGAAATGGAGCCACATAATAAAATAAAGTTTTAGGAAAGCTATCTTATCTTATTACTAATACTTGTTTTTTCTGTTGGATTTAATTTTCATTCTTTTATTCTGTCTCTTTCTCCTCTTTCCCTTCAAAGGGAAACATACTTTTCTGACTAGAGTATGAAATGGAACCACATGAAAACAGGGTTTTAAGGAAAGCTATGCTTCCTTATTGCAAATATTGCTTCTTTTATATTGGTTTTAGTTTTTATTCTGTCCCTGATCCCCCTTCCCTTAGTCATTATTGATGTTTATATTGTTGCAGTGACAGGAATTGAACATTCACTGTTTGCACATTTTTAGCTGTGGTACTTGCTGGGGAATAGCATGTCAGGTTGCAGTGTTCATTGAGGGTTATGCACCTTTAGTTTCAGTGCTTGCACATGTGCTTGTCAGGGTCACATTCTAAGTTGAGGAACTTGAATTAATGGTTGTGGATTTTCACCACGGATCACTGTGTTACTTAAACATGTGCCTACCAGAGGTCACACTTTTTGGCTGTAACATTTTCATACCTCTTTTAGTTGTGGTATTTGCCAGGGTTCTACCCCTTTCTGAGATGTTCACATACACCCTCCGTACCGTGACCAATAATTGCCTGTGGTACTGGGGATTGAAGGGAGCAGAGCTTCCAGGATCACCATTGGTACATGTGGAACTTTGGGAATTTAAGCCTATGACCATATGTTTAGAAGGAAGGTGTTCTAAGTCACTGTCATGGGCTGGTGCTTGTGTGCTGATGTAGAAAGGTTAAAACACACTGTTGTAGTACCTTTGTTATAACTCCATGTCTGTGGACCCATTTGCAGACAGGTACCAGTCCACAGATGTAAAAACCTTGACAACAGCTTCTCTAAGCCCTGTTTTACTGGGTCCTGCAGCTGTTGCTTTACATGGAGATTCAGTCATTAAAAATAAATTTTATCCTTGTTTCTTGAATATTTGTTTTAAATAGTATAAACAGTTGTCTCATTTTCTCTTATAGGCACAGCAGCCTCAGAAAAATACATAAGTGTGAAAACTTCTCTAGAGAAGGTGAACACATTGGTTGCTCCTTTGCTCTGACTATGCTGGAAGATTTCAGTTTTGAACAATACAATGTCCAAATAATGGTCACGGATAAGGAGAAAAAAATCAGACCCTTCTTTCATATAGTGCATTTAGCGTCTCATGGTAAGTTCTAGAAGTCAAGTTTTCTGTGACATGTTAATGTAATTGTTCTTTGAATAATCAACATGAATAATAAAAGATGATGACTGGAATGTGAATATTTCCTCAGGGGGAATGGACTGTATTTCAGTGGACTCCATTGATAGACCCCTTCAAAAGAGGAAACTTTTGGAACGCTAACATTTATTGAGCACTTGTGCCACATACTTTATATTTGCTCATTTGTGAATAGGCTAAGATTATAGCAAGCATAGCAAACAACTAGTTCTATAACCAAAATTGGAGTGTGAGCTCTCTGACTCTGAATGTGTATATCTTCTTTCACTTCTGATAGTTGAGAGGATTAGTCTGCAGAATAGATAGGATAGAATATAGTTTCTAAAATAATAGATCACTTGGGGCTGGAGAGATAGCACAGTGGGTAGGGCATTTGCCTTGTACGCGGCCGACCCGGGTTCTATTCCCAGCATCCCATATGGTCCCCCGAGCACCACCAGGAGTAATTACTGAGTGCATAAGCTGGGAGTAACCCCTGTGCATCGCCGGGTGTGACCCAAGAAGAAAATGATGATAATAATAATAATAAATCGCTTAAAAAAGCTTATGCTGGTGGTGATGTAATCAGGATTGTTATTCAAGCACTCTGTGTGGCACCAATACTTATTATTCAAGACAACAGGCACAGCCTCCTTACTTGGTAAGTAGGGAAAGTATTTATAGAAGCACATGCTTTGCATGTTACAACCCTGACTTTTATTCTCAGCACCATATGGTCCACCAGTCATCATGCCAGGAATATTCCTTGAGCACCACTATGACTAGAAACAGCTCTTGGAAATAAAATTTATTCTGGAAGGTCTAGCTAGTTTCTTCATCTAACACAAGAATATAAACTCATTTTAAATGGTTTGCTTGTGCTTGGGAGATAACTCAAAGGAGTGTGTGTCTAGCAGGTGCAAGATCCCAAATTCCATCCCCAGCATCATATAACCTTCTGTAACACTACTGGTTAATTGTTCTGGTAGTCTCTGAGTGCCTTGTGCTCTAGCACCACGAGATTGAGCACATTGGATTTTACCACACTGCTGGTCCAAGCACTGAACCATCTGGCTGCATTACTGGCCCAGCATCTCTGGGAGTGTCTCCCAGGGCCCTCTAGCACTATTGGAGGCACCCCTAGGCACTGAGAAAACAGGCTATTTACTCTTAAAATAAGGCGTAGAATCCTCTTTATATTTTTGCCTTAGGGGTCACACTGAGGGGTGCTCAGTGCTTAATCCTGTCTCTCTGTTCAGGGCTCACTCCTGGCAGTGCTTGGAAGACAACATGCTGCTGGCCATCAAACCAGGGTCAATCACATGCAAGACAAAAGCCATACCTACTGTACTATCTCTCTAGCTCCCTGAAAGGATTGTCTTAAAGTCCAAATGTTGTATAAAACTATGTTGTGAATCTCTAAAGCAGACGAGTGTAGCATCAGGCTTATTTCTTTGTTGTAAAACCTCAGAAAGGGAGCCCAGGTTCTGAAGATTTATAGGCAAATATAATCATGACCTGACAAAAATGAGCAGAAATTAAGTTTTAAAAATTTTATTTGTTTTATTTAGTTACTGTGAAATTACAAGTTATATGTGATTGAGGTTCAGGCATATGATGTTTCAATATTGATCCCTTCATCAGTGCCTATTTTCCTCCACCAATGCCCTTCCCATTTGGTTCCCACCCTGCTTTTTTTCTTTTTTTGGCTTTATGTGGGTCACACCCAGCGATGCACAGGGGTTACTCCTGGCTCATGCACTCAGGAATTACTCCTGAAAGTGCTTGGGGGACCATATGGGATGCTGGGAATTGAACCTGGTTCGGCTGCATGCAAGGCAAACGCCCTATCCACTGTGCTATCACTCCAGCCCTCCCACCCTGCTTTTATGAGAGGCATTATAAAACACATTTTGCACTGTGGCTTACAAAACTGTTGCTTATAGAGTTTCATGCCTAACACTTTACCACCTTTCAGCACCACCTCTTTTTCCTGGTTGAACTCTTCCCTCTACATAGACATTGTCCCCTCCCTGTCCTATCCCCTAGGGCTTTCAAGTGGCATGTTGCCTACTGAAGACCAGTTTTCATGTTCTTTGTTTCCATTGCCTTTGGGTATTCATTATTCCACTATTGTGTTATTTGTGTCCTGCATATGAGAGCCCGGCAAGCTACCGAGAGTATTCGATATGCCAGACACAGTAACAACAAAGTCTCCAATGGAGACGTTACTGGGCCCGCTGCATATGAGAGAGATCACTCTGTGTAGGCTGGAGTCTCTCTTTCTAACTTCACGCAGCATGATACTCTCTAGGTCACTCCATGTAGCAGTCAGTTTCATGACTATCTTTTCATATGATCAAGTAATAGTCTAATGTGTGTATTACCATAGTTTCTTTATGCAGTCATCTATTCTTGAATATCTGGCTTGTTTCTAGATTTTGACTCTTGTGGATAGGGTTACAAGGAACTTAGGGGTGCCAGTGTCTTTTATCCAATTTGTTTTTGGGTCCTTGGAGTACATTCCAGGAAGTGGAGATGCTGGGTCGAATGCAAGTAATTTTTTAGGAATGTCCATATTTTAGAAATGTTCATACTATTTTCCAGAAAGACTGGACCAGTTGACATTCCCACATGCAGTGAGCAATCCACAGCAGCACTGATTGTCCTTATTCTTTTTGATATGTGCCAGCTACTGTGGCAGATGCTATCACATTGTTGTTTTGAAATCTATCACTCTGATGAATAGTGATGCAGAGCATTTTTTCATGTGCCTTTAGGCCATTTGTATTTCTTCTTGGATATAGTTTCTGTTTATTTCTTCACCCCATTTTTTGATGGTGTTGGGTTTTTTTTGTATAGTTCCACTACTACCTCATTTATCTTTGATATCGATGTGTTATCACATGAATGTTGGAGAAATAATTTATCTCATTCTTGTATGAGCAGAACTTTATTCATCACCTCTTCAATTCTATTTTTTAACAAAGGATTTAGGTTTTTTTGGGGGGGTGGTCACTCCCAGTGGTTCTTGGGAAACAATACATTGTTGGGTATCAAACCTGGCTTTCCCAAATTCCAACAAGTTCTCCAGTCCTTTGAGCTATCTATCAGCCTCATTCCTAATAATGGGTATATTTGGGCAGGAGATATAGAACAGAGGTTAAGGTGCTTTATTTGCAATGATGCCAATGCTGGTTGAATTCCTGGCACCCACATATAGTGCTTACCCATTGACAGGGAATCAATACCGCATGAGTAGTATGGGGTATGACCCAATCCCGCACCCACCAAAAACCCAATGAGTATTTTATTCATTTATTTATGATCATTAAGTCACAACTGATAGTGTACAGGAGCTTCTTCTGGCACTGTGATTGAGAGTCACTCTTGATAGTGCTCAGGGTACCATGCAGTGCTGGGGATTGAACCTGGGGATCTTGCATGCAAAGTCTGAGCCCAGTGTATTTAGTTATTTCTTTGACCTTTGGTGGACCTTTTCCCCCATATTTTTTAGAATCATTTCCCCATATTTTAAAAACATTTCATTATGGAAAATTTCTAAGATACATAAATATAAAGACAAATAAATAATTAAACTAACATTTACCCATGACATATAGTCAGTGACATTCATTTCCTTTTCTTCCCAGAAACTAAGAAAAGGGGTTTATATCCTTTTTCCTGTGGTATATTTACATGTCACAGTGTTTTCAAAGTTTTCAAAAATGTTAAAGGTTGCATAGATAACACAGCAGATAAGGCACTTGCTTTGCAACCTGCTAATTTGGGTTTGATCCCTGATATCCCATCCCTGAGCACCACCAGGGGTGATCCCTGAGTTCAGAGCCAGGAGTAGCCCCTGAGTATAACCAGATGTGGTCTAAAAACCAAAAAAGAAAAAAAAATTGTGAGACACCATACTGTTCATGATATGGTTTTATGCATATAACTTTCCAGCATCCACACCTTCCAATATTGTCACAGTGTCAATAGACCTTTTATTTTATTTTGGTTTGGGGCTACACTTGGAGATGCCAAGACTTAATCCTGGCTCTGCGCTCAGGTATCACTCCTAGCAGATCTGAGGGACCATCTGGGGTCTTGGGAATTGAACCCAGGTCGACCACATTCAAAGCAAATGCCCTACCTGCTGTACTATTCTCTTTGGCCTCCATCAGCAGACCTTTTAAAGCTCATTTTGCTGGTCTTTTCCTGACTGTTAATGGTGATATAAAGGGAAATCCTTTTAAATCAGAAGATATATTCAAATTATATTGTGTTTATTATCTACTCTCTTCTGTTAGCCTTAAGATAGCTTGCTCATGAAAAACTAAGTTGACTGCTTTAACGATTTTATTTAATTAACCAGTTATATTTAAAATAACTATTATTTTGGTTTTGGGAATATATCCAGCAGTACTCAGGATACCATGCAGTGCTGGGAGTTGAACCTGGGGCTCTCGCTCTGTGCTCAGGGATCACTCTTAACGGAGTATAAGGGTCCATTTGGGGTGAGGGGTTAAAACCTGGGATGGCCATATGAAAGGTGTGCACCCACTGTTCTATCTCTCTGGCCATTTATTTAATTAATTTATTCATTTGTTTTTAGGCCATACCAAATGGTGCTCAGGAACTGCTCTCATATCTGTGCTTTATTTGTGTTTGGGCTATAGCAGGTGGTGCCCCGGATTGTGCAAAATATGAGCTCCAGGTTTTATAAAGGTTGGGGGGGGTGTTGAGACCTTATCCAGTGGTACTGAAGGTTTATTCTTGGCTCTGTGCTCAGGAATCACTCCTGGCTGGGTACAGAGCAATATATGCAGTGCTGTGGATTGGACATGGATTGGGCATATGCAAGATAAGCACCTTACCTGCTGTTCTATCTCTCTGCCCATTCCCTGCCCCCACCTTTAAGCTTTAAACTGTAGTAATATATTCACAAACCGGGGCTGGAGCAATAGCACAGCAGGTAGGGCGTTTGCCTTGCATGCGGCTGACCCAAATTTGATTCCCAGCATCCCATATGGTCTCCTGAGTACCACCAGGGGTAATTCCTGAGTGCAGAGCCAGGAGTAACCCCTGTGCATCACCGGTTGTGACCCAAAAAGCAATATATACATATATATATTCACAAACCATTAAATTGACCATATTTATTAAGACCATCTTTAAGTTGGTGACCCATTGAGTAGTATTGTGCAACAAAACTCTTTGTTTCATCAAACTGAAGCTCTGTGATGGAGCTGGAGTGATAGTACAGTGAGTAGGACTCTTTTCTTGCTCATGGCCAACCAAGAATTTGATCTCCAGCACCTCAGATAGTCAGAGATAGTACAGAGTCTGGAGTAAGCCCTGAGCACAGTAGGGTGTGGCTCCAAAGCAAAAACAAACAAATGAAGCTCCATGAAAAACACATTGCCACTCTGCCCTTCCCACAAGCCCTTGAACCACCTTTCTAAGTTCTGTTATCTAGGATTTTTTACTATGTTGCATATCTCATAGGAGTAGATTCATATAGTACATGTGCTTTGGTGGCAGCCTTATTTCATTTATCACAATGTCTTTGAGGTTCATTCACCTCAAGATGTGACAGATACTGGGCTAATGCTTTCTTTTTGAGAAGAGGCCATACCCAGTGGTGCTAAGGGGTCACACTTGCTTATAACTTTTTAAGTGGTGTTTTTATTTTTTAATTGAATTACTTTGAGATACAGTTACAAAGTTGTTCATGATTGAGTTTTAGTCACACAATGTTCCAACACCCATCCCCAGCATACATTTCCCACCACCATTGTCCCAAGTTTCCTTCCCTTCCCTCTCCAGCCTGCCTCTATGGCACTTTTCCTCTTTCTCTACTTCTCTCTCCATTTAGGCACTGCTGTTTGCAATAGTGTTACTGAAAGCTTACAATGTATATCACTTTACTTCTTTTCAGCATTCAGTTATTGTCTAGAGTGGTCATTTACAATTATCATTGTCATTGTGGTCCCTTCTCTGTCCTAAATGCACTCCTCCACAACTTGTGGCAAGCTTCCTACCATGGACCAGTCCTCCTGACCTTCATTTCTACTGTCTTTGGGTATTATTATCATACTATTATTATTCTCATACTATTATTATTTTTAATATCCTTCAAATGAGTGTGATCATTCTATGCTTATCAGAGGGGTCACTCTTGATAGTATTTGGAGGACTGTGGGGTCCTGGGAATTGAACCTGGGGCTCCTTCAAGCAATGCATGTACAGCAGCATTTTGAGCCATTTCCCTGACTCTAGGCTAATGTTATGCTTTTGTTCTTTGACTGACATAAGTGAGTGGCAGCTGGAGAACCCCATTGTACCAAGTGTCCCTTGATACCCTTCGTCACTTGGAGGGAGGCACATCGTGGACAAAAGCACTTCTCTTTTTCTCTGTGATACAGCTGAGTGTTCTAACTACCCATTAGTCATATTCTACCAGATGCAAATCTGAGTTTATCTACCAGACACCTCTCTTACGTTATTCAAAGATTTACTAAATATTTAAAAATAAACTTCTGGGGCTAGAGAGATGGTAGAGTGGAGAAGTCACTTGCCTCCCACATGGCCAACCCAGGCTCAGTCCCTAGCACCCCATATATTGCTGCCCTAGAAGCCCTCAAGAACTGTCTGGATGGCCCTAATGGTACTAGGCACCATTAAATCACTTAATTAAATAATAATTAAATTATCTCTAATTAAAATAAAATAATAATTAAAATTAAAATGTATATTCCCAAGCCCACCAGGACTGATCCGTGAGCACAGAACCAAGAGTAAGCCCTGAGTACCACCACGTGTGACTCCAAAACCAAATTAAATAAAATAATTTTCTGATATTTACTGTAGGTACTCAGAAATTGTAGAGTTCAGGAGATATCTTTGTAGCTAAAGTGTCTGTTTTGTAAGCATGAGGTTGTATGTTTGATCTCCTATGCTGCCATGTGCACTGGTGGTAATCTTGGCTGCTCAGCTGTCTGTGATCACTGTTGTTGCAAGTGATTTCTGGGCATACCTCACCCAGGAATGTGATTGTGAGTGAGCATATGCATGAGCACTATAGCAACCCGAATGAGCATTAAAGCCAGAGTGTGTGCATGCCATAACTAAAGAAGACCCACACCTGTGAACATTACAAAGAAATATGTGTGGCTTACACATCATAGCAACAATGTCAACAGAGGGAGGGAAAGAGAAAACAATCATAATATAAAATTAAAAATTAAAAAATGTAGAATTTTCGGTCTAATCAGATGGCATAGCCCTATTTTAATTTTGATTTGTGACCTTCATTATCTTTTTGTATATATGTATAAATCATATAAACTCTGGAAACTAAATGGTATTCTCGGATTTCTAATTTTCAGTGAAACCTGATCCTCCACGAATTAAAAGTCTTTTCTTCCACAATGGTTACTTGCATGTGCAATGGGAGAACCCACCAAAATTTTTAAGCAGATGCTTATCTTATCAAGTAGAAGTCAACAACAGCCAGCCTGTGACACACAGCATTTTTTCCGTAAGTTTTTCTTTTCAGTTGTTTTTATTTGGATGTTTGTTTTGCACTAAAATTTTTTGCAACATGATGAACTAAAATAGAAATGCAGTAAAGTGAGTAGCCTTGTCAATCATGAAGAAACTTCTTGTCTAAAATTTGGCATGATGGAAAGTTTGATGATTTCTCATAAGAATATAGTGTCTGAAGTGCCGAGAACAGAAGAATGGATAAAGAAACTATGGTACATCTACATAATGGAACACTACATAGCTGTTAGAAAAAATGAGGTCATTCCAACATTAGAATCATCAAAGTACCAGAAAGACAGGGAGGCAACACCAATGAAAAGCCACAGTCAAAGAAATCATTGCTGAAATGTTCCCAGAGTTAAAGAATGTAGACATCCAAACACTACATAGCTGTTAGAAAAAAATGAGGTCATAACATTAGAATCATGAAAGTACCAGAAAGACAGGGAGGCAACCCCAATGAAAAAGCCACAGTCAAAGAAATCATTGCTGAAAAGTACCCAGAGTTAAAGAACGCAGACATCCAGATCCAAGGAGCCAGAAGGCTGCCAGCTAAAAGAGACCCAAATAAAAACACTCCAAGTCATATAATAGTCAGAATGACGGATGCTGTGTATAGAGACACACTCCTGCAAGGAAAAATGAGGTTATGAAATTTTCTATAAATGGATGAACCTGGAGAGTGTCATGCTAAGTGAAATGAGTCAGGAGAATAGGGGCAGATATAGAATGACTGCTTTTATTTGTGGGATATATATATATATATATATACACACACACACACACATATATATATATATATATATATATATATATATAACCGTATGGGGAGCTGAGTGATAGTACAGTGGGTAGGGCTTTGCCTTGCATACGGCCGGCCTAGGTTCGATTCCCAGCATCACATATGGTCCCCCGAGCACTACCAGGGGTAATTCCTGAGTGCAGAGCCAGGAGTAACCCCTTGTGCATTGCCAGGTGTGACCCAAAAAGCAAAAAAAAAAGGTATGAAACTAATATCTAAGGCCAGGGAAAATGGGTCAGGAGGACTGATCAGTGGTTGAAAATTACCACAAAAGTGTGTGTGGGGGGTGAAGGGTAGTTAATATAGAGGAGGGTCCATTATGACAACGTTAGTTCGAAATGATCACTCTGGACAAGAACTGGGTGTTGAAAGTAGGTAAAGGAATATATATGATAATTTGCATCTGTATTGCAAACCATAATGCCTAAAATGAGAGAGAGAAAAAGAAAGGGAGAGAAGAGGTGCCTTCCGTAGAGGCAGGCAGGGGTGGTGGGTACTTTGGAAGCGTGGAAGGGAAACTGGGAACACTGGTGCTGGGAAATTACACTGATGGAGGTATGGGTGTTGTGAATATCATTTGACTGAAACCTAGTCATGGACAGCTTTGTTATGCTCTAACTCACAGTGATCAAAAAATAGAGTTTAGTCGTTCATTAATTGATGTGCTCAAAAATGGGCACTGGTGGAGGGATGGGTATTTGATCATTGTATAATTGAAACCCAAGCACAAAATTTTGTAAGTCTACAACTCTACCTCATGGTGTCTCACTAATAAAAATTTTAAAAAATGCTTATTATTGGTTTACCATGTTCTATAAACCCTGTCTGAGCCCATGACATCTGATGAACAGTACTTTTCCATTTAATTGATCTACTAGCACTTAAAGCAAAAGGATAAGTGACTTTCAGAAGATGAATGCTATGAAGAAAATCAGGGGTGATGAGATGGGAGGACCTGAGTGATCACGGAGGGTAGGTCATCCATCCAAAGAGTTGGTACTGAAGATGAGAACAGAGAGATGAGCAGAAGTCTTCTGAAGATTTGTGGGTGGAGGAACAGTGAGTACAAAGACCGAGGAAGCAAGATTGGACTTGCTATGTGGCAGTGGCAGAAAGCAATATGGTACTTGAAAGATTAAGTAGGAGAGGCTGTGATCAGGTTGAAGGCTATGATATGGTCATTCACTTTTCTTGAGGTTGGCGGTTACTAAAGTAGTCTAATTGGAGTAGTTAAGACATGTCTTTTTTTTTTTATATATTATGCTCTTTGGAATCAGATGAAAAACATGCAGTGAGGGGCTGGGTATGTGGCTTGGGTGGTAAAACACATGCCTTAAATATGGATGCCTTGGGTCTGATCCCTGGAATGCTCACACATACCTGCTCTATCCCCAGCATCACCTGGTGTGTCAACCTATCCCCAAAGAAAAACACACAGTGAAGGTGGTATAACCTAATCAGAAGACGGTCTAACCTTAGGGTCCGAGTCCAATTGTTATACTTTCAGGTAGAGGTCACAAATATTTTTGTTTTGACCTTAAGCAAAGTAAGGTTTTATTAGATTTGAATTTTGGAGGTGCTCTCCCAAAGAGGGCCCCGGGTCACTTCCGGTGATTCTCAGCCAATCTGGCCCAAAGACCCAGTGATGCAATGGTGCCAAAGACCACCAGGGCAGTGGTCTGGCAGTGCTCGGGAGCTTCCAGAGTGACATCATTCAATTCTGTGGTACTGGAGATCAAATCAGGGTCCCAAACATGCAACGCATGCACCTCCGATCCTGGTGCTCTCTCCCCGACCTCAGGTTTAAATTTTTTTCATGCAAATTGAAAACTGTGGCACTGCATAGTGTAGTATCCATAGGTGGCGCCCAGAAACGAAGGAGATGGTGCTACTTCCTCACTGGGTCACCTGCCATTTGTGTTTTAAGGTTCCAGAGCAAGTGTTTTATATTGGGTTGTAAAGGAACTGGACTTATTGAAGATGGGCAAATTCCTTGGTCCAGTTGTTTCAACTCATCACAGCAGCAGTTGTTTCAAATCCTCACTAAAATAAGCCAGTGTTGACAAGCCGTAACTCTAGAGGGAGCATCTGGGGCACAGATGACCAGAACTCTTCTACTCCTTTTCAGATGAGTCCCTTTGCTGAAATAGAATATTACTCCCTTTCAGAAACCAGTATCTCTGTGCAATGTGGCAGAAGGAAAAAAACCCCAAATACTTCTAATTGGTGAGATGGTGAGGCTTGGAGGTGCCACTAAGTGAAATGTACTTGAGTGTCAGAAAGCTGAAATATACTTGACTTCTCCTGCCTTCACTGCTCTCAGTCTCTTTGAAACCCCTTGCATTATTTATTTGGTACTGAATTTTGTTCTGCTATTTATGCTGATCACATGTGTAAACTTTTCTCCACATTATAAATATGAGCTCCTTTGAGTGTTTACTTTGGGCTCTTCCTGTCACTGACATGAGGTGAGCAATTATTATGTACTAGGCCTTTATTGAGCAATTTATTGGAATCATCTCATTATGTCTTTGCCGTAACCCCAAGGAACTATGTGCTGTTATTTTTTTAGTTGTTTCCATGTTTTTTTAAATTTTATTTTTATTAAAGTGCCATTATTTACAAATTTTTCATAGTTGGGTTTTAGATATTCAGTGTTGCAGCACTGATCCTACTTCCAGTGTCAGCTTCCCTCCACCAGTGTTCCAATGTTCCCTCAACACCCCAAGCCTGCCATCTTGACAGGCACCATTTTCAGTTCGGTTGTTAAAGTTTGGGTCTCATGATTTCAGTTTTTCTACTTCTTTGGTTTGTTTATTTATCTGTGTCATTCCTTAACACCACTAATGTACCTGAATACCCTTGACTCTTCCCCCCTGTTGCTTCTCACATATCTCTTCTCCCCACACTGACCAACACTGATTTCTTTCTTTCCCTTCAGTATACTTGGGGCCAAGGGTGATCTAGACATTTAAATCGTTGCATTCTATCATCCAGTTATTCTGACTACTACATATAAGTGATATTGTCCTATGTTTATCCTTTTTATGGCATACTTTATTTAACATAATACCTTCTAGTTCTATTAATATTTTGTGCTGTTATTTAAAAAATAGTGTTTTTTTAAATTTTGTGGAACTTGTGGATCACATACAGCTGCACTCAGGGCTTAGTCCTGGCTCTGTGCTTAGGGATCACTACTGATGATGCTTGGGGAACCAGGTGTGATGCCCGGAGATCTAACCAGAGTTGGCTGCATGCAAGGCAAATACTGTAGGATATTTGTATTGATATTGATCACTTCTGGCAGTGATTGGGAAACCATATGTCATGCCTGGGACTGATTCCCTGTTGACTGCATGCAAAGCAAGTGCCCTGCCCAATGTACTATATTTCTGGCCCCAAATGTGACTGTTTTTAAAGTGCACAGTGTGCTGTTTTTCCGTTTATTTGAAGGGATGTTAGTCCCTACTCAGCTGTGCTGGAGATTGAACATGGGTTGACCATGTACAAGGCAAGCAACTTACCTGCTGTACTATCTTTCCGTCCCCCAGTTTGCTAATTTAATATACGTAAGTAAGGTAAGGTCCTCCTGTTGTTCATCGATTTTCTCGAGCGGGCCCAGTAACGTCTCCATTGGAGACTTTGTTGTTTCTGTGTTTGGCATATCAGTACGTCACGGGTAGCTTGCCAGGCTCTGCCGTGCGAGCAAGATACTCTCGGTAGCTTGCCGGGCTCTCCAAGAGGGGCGGAGGAATCGAACTCGGGTCTCTCCAAGAGGGGCGGAGGAATCGAACTCGGGTCACCAATGTTGGCTGCGTGCAAGGCAAACGCTCTACCCACTGTGCAATCTCTCCAGCCCTTAATATATGTAAATATTGTGAAATGATTACTATAATGAAATTAATGAATCTACCCCTCCCCTTGCAAGCTGTCTTTTATTTTTTTGCTTTTTGGGTCACAATTGGCGATGCTCAAGGGTTACTCTTGGCTTTGCACTCAGGAGTCACTCCTGGCAGTGCTCAGGGGACCATATGGGATACTGGGAATCGAACCCGTGTCAGCCTTGTGTGAGGCAGATGCCCTACCCGCTGTGCTATCGCTCAAGCCCCAAGCAAGCTGTCTTTTAATGGGAGATGTTGGGCCACAGTTGGCAGTGCAAGGGGCTGTCTCTTGCTCTGTGCTCAGGAATGGCCCTGGGCAGGACCATATGTGGACTGTATGGCCTACTTGGGAGACCATATGTAGTGAAGAGAATGGAACCGGGCTCAGCAGCCTGCACAACAAGCGTCTTAATCCCTGTACTTTCTCACTGGCCCCACAACTTACTTTTTTTGTATTTAGTGGGAACCAATGAACTATTTGTATTTGTATATAGTGGAAACTATTGAACTATTGAGATCTATGCTCAATAAATTTCAAGTATATGTAATGGCCCTCCTGTTGATCATCGATTTGCTCGAGCGGGCCCAGTAACGTCTCCATTGGAGACTTTTGTTGTTACTGTGTTTGGCATATCGAATACGTCACGGGGAGCTTGCCAGGCTCTGCCGTGCGGGCGAGATAATCTTGGTAGCTTGTCAAGCTCTCCAAGAGGGGTGGAGGAATCAAACTCGGGTCGGCCATGTTGGCTGCGTGCAAGGCAAATGCCCTACCGCTGTGCTATCGCTCCACAATTTTTAAAAAAATATACCTAGGGGCAGGGGAGTTGTCAGTATTTTCAACCCTATTTCATTGGGCTGCAGCTCTGCCTTTGTTCCAGTACCATGCTGTTTTAATTATTACTGCTTTGTAGTAGAGTTTGAAGTTAGGGAGGTTGTTTTTTCCCATTTTTTTCTTTGCAATAATTGCTTTAGCTATTCGTGGGGGCTATTGTTCCATATGAATTTCAGGATTGTTTGCTCCATTTCTTTGAAGAATGTCATGGGTATCATTAAAAGGGATCACATTGAATTTGTATGATGCTTTGGGAAGTATTGCCATTTTGACAATGTTAATTCTCCTGATCCATGAGCAGGGGATATCTTTCCATTTCTTGTGTCCTCTTTTATTTCCTGAAGTAGCATTTTGCAGTTTTCTTTGTACAGGTACTTTACTTCCTCAGTTAAGCTGATTCCTAGGTACTTGATTTTCTGGGGTACAATTGTGAACAGGATTGTTTTTTTCATGTCACTTTCTTCTGTCTCACTGTTTGCATATAGAAAAACCATGGACTTTTAGGTATTGATTTTATAGCCTGAAACTTTACTATACAAGTCTATTGTTTCTAGGAGTTTCTTGGTAGACATTATAGGGTTCTCTAAGTATAGTATAATATCATCTGTGAACAGTGAGAGCTTGATTTCTTCCTTTCCTACCTGGATGCCCCTAATATCTTGTTCTTGCCTAACCGCTATTGCAAGTATTTCCAGTACTATATTGAACAGCAGTGGAGAAAGTGGGGCATCCTTGTCTCATCCCTGATCCTAGAGGGAAGGCTCTCAGTTTTTTCCCATTGAGGATGATGCTTGCTGTAGGCTTGTGGTAGATAGCTTTAACTATATTGGGGAAAGTCCCCTATATCCCCATTTTGGCAAGGGTTTTCATCATAAACGGGTGCTGGATCTTGTCAAATGCTCTCTCTGTATCTGTTGATATGATCATGTGCTTTTTATCTTTTATTTTGTTTATATGATGGATTGAGACACTGTCCTCCCGTTGTTCATCAATTTTCTCGAGCGGGCCCAGTAACGTCTCCTTTGTGAGACTTCGTTGTTACCGTGTTTGACATATCGAGTATGTCACGGGTAGCTTGCCAGGCTCTGCCCTGTGGGCGAGTTACTCTCGGTAGCTTGCCCGGCTCTCCGAGAGAGGCGGAGGAATCGAACTCGAGGCGGCCATGTTGGCTGCATGCAAGGCAATCAATTTCATCCTTGCATTCCTGGGATGAATCCTACTTGGTCATGGTATTTAATCTTTTTGATGAGTCGTTGGATTCTATTTGCTAATAGTTTGTTGAGGATCTTTGTGTATGTGTTCATCAGGGATATCGTCCTGCAATTCTCTTTCTTTGTGGTATCTCTGTTTGCTTTTGTTATCAGGGTGATATTTGCTTCGTAGAAACTGTTTGGGAGTGTTTTTGATATTTCAATTTCGTAGAAAAGTTTAAAGAGGATTGGGAATAAGTCCTCTTTAAAGATTTGGAAGAATTCACTAGTGAATCCATCTGGGCCAGGACTTTTGTGCATGGGGAGACGTTTTATGAATAAAGTTTTAATGAGTGCTTGCAGACTACATTTTATGCACATGTTTGGACGCACAAAATGTAGTCTGCAAGCACTCATTAAAAATTTATTCATAAAAAGTCTCCCCAAGCACAAAAATATTTTCTTCTTCAAGATTGTGAAAATGTTTCCTATTATTTTCATTTAGAAATATTTCTGTATGTAAAGTTTACTTATTTGTCTTAAATTTAACATTTTAATATGGAATCTATCTGAAATTGATTTTGTAAAAAGTGTGAAGTAGAGTGTCAAGAGTATATTTTTCTGTATATAGTTGTATAATTGACCCAGAACCAATTTTTAAAGCCCACTTTTTCCACTTTCAGTGATTATAAAAGGTGTTCTTGTAATGAGAACAAAGGAAATCATGGTTAACTGATGTAAATGTATGGTCATTTACACATTTTAACTGATTCTTTTTTAATATATGTTTTAAGGTTGATGAGGACAAATGTCAGAATTCAGAATTTGGGGAAAACATGGAGGTCAGTAAATTCAACTTTTACTATTTGGGCTTCAACTCATTGAGTACTTGGGGGTGGGGGATAGATTAATAGAACCTAATTATGAACTGTTTGAAAAACCCTTTATTTTATAGGTTATTTCCAGTTTTTCTTTTAGAAGTTAGTTGGTTCACTTGGATCACCATCCTTAATCGTATGCACAATTTAGCAGAAACAGAATAAAGTGTTAATATTCCTTGTGTATTTTTATTTTATGTCTAAGGGTACAATTTGTTTCATGGTCCCCGGCATTCTTCCTGATACTTTGAACACAGTGAGAATAAGAGCTAAAACAAATAAGTTATGCTATGAAGATGACAAGCTCTGGAGTAATTGGAGCCAAGCAATGCATATAGGTAAGAGAGCAGGATTTCATTGAAATTTAAATCACTGATTCTTAGAAACAAAGCTGATGGCTGAAAATAGATGGAGAGAAAGAACCTTTAGATTTCCGTTCTTGATATCAGCCAGAGAATACTTGAAATTCAGATACATTTTCTGTTTAATTACTGTCAAATCACTCCAGATTCATTTCCTTTATTCAGCTCTTTGCAAACCTGCAATCAAATAGTGTTACCATCTCTTTTGCTCTATCTTCTTTATTAATAATCAACAAAAATTTAGAAGACAAGTTTGATGAAATCTGTTGATTGTATCATGCTGGAAAACCATCCCATGTGATAGTGACAGAACTAAGAGTAGAATCATGATCTGGATGACAGTTAACAGAGATAAACCTGTATCTCAGTTTGAAAGAAAGCACAGAAACTGTTTTATTTGTTGAGGAAGAGACCAATCAAGGTGTCTGTCAGTCTCCAGCAGAAGATTGGAAAATCCTGTGCCTTGAGGATATGATGTATTTTATTTAATTATATGCAAGCAAAATGTAACTCTGTGTTCAAACTCTCCATATTTTCCCAAGGCAGATGCAATTTTAAGCAACAATGATAATGCAGTACTCATAACAAGTGAGTGATTTAGACTGATGCACAGTAATCTGTTCAGATCAAAAGTCTACAGAGTTTCATTCTGGGCAATGCATTGCAGGAAGTGCATTGTAAAACTGGAATATAGTTTTGAAAGGTTATTCAAGCTGTTGAGGAATCTCAAAAATCAGGGAGAAGCCTTTGCTGAAGCAAGCCAAGGGAATCCATCATTATGGAATTTGAATATGTGATGGATTGGTACAAAGGGGAAGGAACAGGCTACCATTTGTGTGTGTGTCTCCCCACGGCACAAATTTGATACACCTGATAACTTTCCAACAGCTCTCTAGCAGAGGGAAAGGCTGTTAAGAGAATTAATTATCTGATAAAAGAGGAAAAACAAGCAAAAAGAAACAGAGTAAACAAGAGAGGTAAAATATACCTGGTTGTATTAATTCTTTACTGATAAACAAGCAATTATCCAAAAGTTTAGTGGCCTAAAAACACATTTATGTGTTTGGAGATGTGACTTCATTAGTGGAGCACAGGTCTTGCAATTGTGAGGCCTTGAGATCTATCTTGGCAACAGATCCCCCCTTCCCCCCGCAACACACAGCATTTAACACAGCCAAGTGTGGCCCTCTTTATTTACCTTTGTAAAACATGATGCCTGAACACTGCTGAGTGTGTGGCCTCCCTTCTCAAAAAAGGGAAGAGGAATTCCACAACTATCATTTAGTTTTTTGTGGTTTAGGAATCTGGGCACAGCTTAGATATCACTGGTGAAATTTCCCCCATGTGGTGACAGTCAAATTCTTTACTGCTAATGCAGTCTCATCCGAAGATTTGACTGGAGTTAAAGAATCCATGGGAAAACTCATTCATGTGGTTATTGAAAAGCCTTAATTTCTCCTCAGCTGTGGGGTAGAGTCTACCCATAGGTCAAATAGTATCTCCCCACAAAATATTTGTTGTATATCTCAACTCACCAGGACGTATGAATGTGACCTTATTGGAAAAGATTTTGCTTTTGTAATTAAGATGAGGTCAGCCTAGTTCAGGCGAGGCATTAGTTTCAATGGTTGAAACCCTTAAAAGAACAGAAGTTGGAGGGCCAAAAGATAGGGATAAAGGTGCTTGCCTTGTGTATGGCTGACACCAGTTTGATCCCTGACACCCATATGGTTCCCCAACACCACCAGGAATAATCCCCGAGGACAGATCCAGGGGGAAGCCCTGGGACCCACTGGGCATGTACCCTCCAAAATATAAAATAGCAGAGGATACAGAGATTGTGGTGATGAAGTCTTAAGCCTAGGAATATTAAAGATTTGGGGGAGCCATTGAGACCATGATAGAGATAACCAGACACCTGGTGGAGGATGGGGTGATAGAATATTATATGCATGAAACCTTATCATGAACAGTATTTCAAATCAGGATGTCTAAAATTTAAAAAAATACAGTACTGATGGTGATTGGTATTTTAGGTATTCTAATATTGCACATGACCAATAAACGAGTCATTCTTCATGAGTGGATGTATTTAGCAGATATAATGTCTTAGTTAATAGCATCTGAAACCTGTTAGGATTACCTGGATTCAGGTCATCCATAATACGTTTATTCATCCTTTGGATGTTAGATAACCGAGCAGGGATTTTTATTCTTTTACTATTAAGATAACAGAATATAAGATCCTTAAAGAGTTTTAGAAAATAGGTTGGGACAGAGAGCAGAAATGCCTGCCATTTTAATAGTGTGATAAAACAATTGCTTCATTTTGTTCTAAAAGGGTTTTATTTCTTATGTTCCTCATGTTTTTCTGTGTGCTTTCCATTTTTCAGGTGAAAATGCCAAGACCACTCTGTACATAACCATGTTATTCATCCTTCCTGTCATTGTTGCAGCTGCAATCATAATCCTCCTACTTTATCTTAAAAGGTAAAACAGCTGCCCAAGCAGATCTCTCAGTTTTTGCTGGCCAGTTGCTCTGGTTATTAATCTTTATACACGTTTGAAGTTTTCTTGGTGTATTAGAGATATTTTTCACAACCTCGTCCGGCCCACTTTATTTAAATATCGTGCTTTACAAACTTTTTTATAATGCATTTGTTACAGGTATTAAATAATCTAACCCAAATCCCACAATTTATGTGACCTTCCCTCCACCATTGTCCATATTTTCCTGACTACCCCTAAAGCCTGTCCCCAAAGCAGGACCAAAAAATTTGTTTTTTTTTTTTGCTTATTACTAAATGGCTAATGAAATTTTCAAAGAATACTTAAGTCAAAGAAAATTTGTGAAAATTGTTGTATCTCACCATAATAATTCTATGTGTGAGGATTTACTACAATATTGTTGCCAGTTGAGCCTTATCATTTCATTAAAAAGTGTTAATGTTTTTGTTAATCGAGTTTTTTTAAATTTTTATTAGTGAAACACCATGAGGTACAGTTGTAGACTTACAAATTTTTGTGCTTGGGTTTCAGTTATACAATGATCGAATACCCATCCCTCCACCAGGCTTCCTAATGTATATAATGTAATAATATGCACCACATTCCCATTCAATCTGCTGTACTCTTACTGGGATATTAGTATTGTAGAATTTGGGGATGTTACATGGCTGCAAATGCAGCCTTGTGCTCCAGAAAATCCAGAATATTTAAGTGGGCAGTGAGCTTACATGGAAGTGCTAATGAAATGTAGGTATGTATGGCTCCTGGGACTTTAGGAAATACAGGAGTGGTGCTGGGGGGAGGTCACTCACCACCACTCTGAGAATGTTCAAAGTTCTCAGCAAAACCTAGCCCCATGCTCTACCCGTGGTGTATCTAAAATTTTATGCACTTGGGTGTCTCTGCAGAGCTCAGTCATGAGGCAGTAGAGTCTGGTCATAGGAATGGCAGCAGCTGTTGGAGTGTGAGTATAGCTCCAGGGCTTTGGCAAGGTGGGGACTTGGCCTGCCCCCTAGAGGTAGTTTTAAAAATATTTTGTAGCACAGCTGTAGGGCGTTTGCCTTGCACGCAGCCAACATGGCCGACCCGAGTTCGATTCCTCCGCCCCTCTCGGAGAGCCCGGCAAGCTACCGACAGTATCTCGCCCGCATGGCAGAGCCTGGCAAGCTTCCCATGACGTATTCGATATGCCAGACACAGTAACAACAAAGTCTCCAATGGAGACATTACTGGGCCCGCTCGAGCAAATCGATCAACGGGAGGGCCTTTACTTTGCTTACTTTACTTTATTATTTATTTCTATTTGGGGATCACACCCAGGATGCTGAGGACTTAATCCTGGCTCTGTGCACAGGGAAACTCATGACAGTGCTCAGGGGACCATATGGGGTGCCAGGAATCGAATTCAGGTCAGTACAAGACAAGCACCCTTGCCTGTACAAGGCAAACACCCTACCCAATTAATATATCTCCTTATTAGAGATATTCTTTCAAGGGCTTTGGGTATGTGACATGGCAAAGAAGTACTACTATGTCCATTTTGTTTTTGTTTTGGGGTCACACCCATAGTGCTTAATGGTTACTCTTGCACAGTGTTCAGGGATCACTCCTGGCTGGCTCCAGAAACCATGTTTGGTGCTAGGGATTGAACCCTGGTTGGCTGCATGCAAGGCAAATGCCCTACCCACTGTACTATCTCTCTGGCCCTTACTGAGTCCATATTTTATGAAGAGGAAACTTGGATTATTTTCTTGGGACTCTGCTCAACCATTGCTCTCTTGCCATGTATGTAGAATTGCTAATAAGCTTTAGGTTCACTCTACTTTTTCCAATGCCTAATATATCAACAATATCTGGTAGCTCTTGGAATGAAATATTAGAAATGGGGACCATTGCTCATTAAGTGGCTTGTCTAGTATAAAGCCAAGCATATTGCTACTTAAAATGGTAGGAAAGGGGGGATGGGGATATGATTCAAAAGGCTGGAGACTGTGTTCTGTATGTGAGAAACCTGGGTTCATTTTACCACGCAGTCCCCTGAGCACTACCCCATTCCCCCACCCCCCCAAGAAGCTATAGAGAAGAGAATGTTACCACGTTGTTTATAATTGTGGGGTTCATTCCTTGAGACTGTTCTATTTTCTTTAGCTCACCATGAGGATTTATCTAATGTGTTATTTGCTGTTCAATAAGTACCCAAATTGAAATGTGCCTATGAAGTTGAGTCCAGAGCCAATATTTTATCATTGCTTCCATATGTGTTCAAAACCAAATGCACGAAAGTGGATTATATGCCTTTTGAAGTACCAGGCATGGCCTTAATTGCTGATTTCACCACCAGGACCAAGGTGAAAGTTAGCCTTATCCAAGAGGATATATACATTCATACATGCATACATTGAATATGTTGTATATGTAATACGGAAGTAGTTAAATTAATAAGTTGAGATAGGTGGGGAGTTTGGTGAGAAAGTGATAGGCTTATTCTACATAGGTTGCCATCTAAGAAAGTGACATTTAAGGAGAGATTCAAAGTAAAGTTGAGCCCTTTGAAAAAAGAGCATTCTAGGTCAGGAGAGCAGCATATGCAAAGCCTGAGTCTGGGTGAACTAAGTGAGTCCTGCAAGAGGGAGAACAATAGGAAATGAGGTTGTAGAGGTTAGTGAGGCCACATCATGTTGGCAAGGAATTGATATTTATTAGTGTACTTATTTTTGTGTCAGGGCCTGGGACCACCCTGGTATTACTTGACACTGGGGTGCAGGACTAGTTATATTGTGTTGCTATGACCAAGAACAACTAGGGCTACAACTGGTGGTTCTGGGAAGGCGTTGGGATGGTCAACTTGAAGCGTCTCAATGAGAAGCATGTACTCCACCCGCTTTGTGCTATTTTTCCAGAAGCCTCCTACAACCTGGCCAGCTTTAAATATGGCTGTACTTAAGAAGAATGTGCCCAGACTGGGAGTTTTCATTACAAATATCTCTTTTTTAAGGCTCAAGATCATCATATTCCCTCCAATCCCTGACCCTGGGAAGATTTTTAAAGAAATGTTTGGAGACCAGAACGATGATACTTTGGTAAGTACTGACTTGATGATATTCAGAATTGCCTATGGTACTTTTAAAATTTAGGGCATATCAGAAAAGTAAGCACTTTTATGTGTAGTTCAGTTGGCATTGCATGTATTTACCATGTTGTGCAACTATCATCACTGTTTCCAGAACATTTTTTGTCGTCTCAAAAATTGTGTCCATAAAATAGTAGTTTATTTTTATTAATATTAAACCATTATGATTTGCATTGTTATTCATAGCTGAGTTTCAGATGTACAATGTCCTAACACCAGTCCCATCACCAGTGTCAACTTCTCTTTACCAGTGTTCTAAGGTTCCCCATGACCACCAGCCAGGCTCCTTGACAGGCATATTGTTTGGTAAAACAGTAAGTTCTTTTTTTTTTTTTTGCTCTGTGCTCAATGATCACTCTTTTTTTTTTTATTTTTATTAGTGAGACACCATGAGGTACAGTTGTAGATTTACAATTTTTTGTGCTTGGGTTTCGATTATACAATGATCAAATACCCATCCCTCCACCAGTGCCCATTTTCCACCACCATGGATAATATCCCTCCCACCCCCATCCCCCCCATCCCACCCTGCCTCTGTGGCAGGGCAGTCCCCTGTATTCTCTCTCTCCTTTTGGGTGTTGTGGTCTGCAAAAGAGGCATTGAGTGGCAAACATGTTCAGTCCATAGTCCACTTTCAACATGTGTCTCCCCTCCTGGGAGGATCCTCCAAACACCCTTTATTTGGTGTTCCCTTATCTATCTGAGCTGCCCTTTCCCCTATAATGCCCGGCTGGCCTCTAAGCTATGGAGTAATCCTCCTGGTGCTGATCTCAGCTATTCTTGGGTATTAATCTCATATTTAAAACAGTAAGTTCTTTTTTTTATTTATTTTTATTTTTTTATTTAATCTTTTTTTTTTATTAGTGAAACACCATGAAGTACATTTATAGACTTATAAATTTTTGTGCTTGGGTTTCAGTTATACAATGATCAAGTACCCATCCCTCCACCAGTGCCCATCCTCCCCCACCACAGGTCCTAGCATCCCTCCCACACCCCATCCCCCCCCCATCCCACCCTGCCGCTGTGGCAGGGCATTCCCCCTTGTTCTCTCTATTTTCTTTTGGGTACTGTGTTTTGCCAGAGAGGCATTGAGTGGCAATCATGTTTGGTCTATAGACTACTTTTAGCATGTCTCTCCCACCCTGGGAGGGTCTTCACAACACCCTTTATTTGGTGCTCTCTTCTCTATCTGAGCTTCCTTTTCACCTAGCACATGTGGCTGGCCTTCAAGTCATGGAGCAAAATTCCTGGTACTAATCTGAGCCATTCCTGGGTGTTAGTCTCCCGTTTTGTTGCTTTATGTTCCCCAGATGAATGCAATTTTTCTGTGTCTATCCCGCTCTTTCTGACTCATTTCACTTAACATGATACTTTCCATGTAGTACCACTTGTATGTAAATTTCATAACTTCATCTTTTCTAACAGCTACATAGTACTCCATTGTGTAAATGTACCAAAGTTTCTTTAACCAGTCATCTGTTCTCGGGCACTCAGGTTTTTTCCAGATTCTGGCTATTGTAAAGAGTGCTGCAATGAACAAACAATTGCAGATGTCACTTCGACTATACCTTTTTGCCTCTCTGGGATATATTCCCAGGAGTGCTATAGCTGGGTCAAATGGGAGATCAAATTCTAATTTTTTGAGAATCGTCCATACTGTTTTCCAAAAGGGTTGGACCAGCCTGCATTCCCACCAGCAGTGAAGGAGGGTCCCTTTCTCGCCACATCCGCGCCAGCACCTGTTGGTTTTGTTCTTGTGGATGTGGGCCAGTCTCTGTGGTGTGAAATGTTATCTCATTGTTGTTTTGATCTGCATCTCTCTGATGATTAGTGATGTAGAGCATTTTCTCATGTGCCTTTTTGCCATTCGGATTTCTTTTTTGTGAAAGTTTCTGTTCATTTCCTCGCCCCATTTTTGATGGGGTTGGGTGATTTCTTCTTGTGGAGTTTAACCAGTACCTTGTATATATATCCTTGATATCAACCCCTTGTCGGATGTGTATTTGGTGAATATTCTTTCCCATTCTGTGGGCTGTCTTTGTATTTTGGTCACTGTTTCTTTTGAGGTGCAGAAGCTTCTTAGTTTAAGATAGTCCCATTTGTCTATCTCTGTTTTCACTTGCTCGGCCAGTGGCGTGACATCTTTGAAGATACCACTAACTTCAATATCGTGGAGAGTTTTGCCAACTTTGTCTTCAATAAACATTATTGATTCCGGTCTGATGTTGAGGTCATAAATTCATTTGGATCTTGCTTTTGTGCATGGCGTTAGGCAGAGATCTGAGCCCACTTTTTTTGCATGTAGCCGTCCAGTTTTGCCAGCACAATTTATTAAAGAGGCTTTCCCTGCTCCATTTCACTTTTCTTGCCCCCTTATCGAAGTTTAGATGATTATATGTTTGGGAGGAGATGTCAGTATATTCAACTCTGTTCCATTCGTCTGCAACACTGCCTTTGTTTCAGTACCATGCTGTTTTGATTATTACTGCTTTGTAGTAGAGCTTGAAATTAGGTAGGTTTATTTCTCCCATTTTCTTTTTCCCAAGAATTGCTTTAGCTATTCGTGGGGGCTTATTGTTCCATATGAATTTCAGGAGTGTTTGCTCCATTTCTTTGAAGAATGTCGTGGGTATCCTTATAGGGATTGCATTGAATTTGTACAGTGCCTTGGGAAGTATTGCCATTTTGACAATATTGATTCTCCCCATCCATGAACAGGGGATATTTTTCCATTTCCTCGTGTCCTCTTTTATTTCCCGAAGTAGCGTTTTGTAGTTTTCTTTGTACAGATCCTTTACTTCCTTAGTTAAGGCGATTCCTAGGTACTTGATTTTCTGGGGCACAATTGTGAATGGAATTATTTTCTTCATGTCACTTTCTTCTCTTTCACTATTTGCATAGAGGAAAGCCATGGATTTTTGGGTATTGATTTTATAGCCTAAAACAGTAAGTTCTTATGGCCCTCTTCCATTGTAGTCTATGGTAACTTCTCCTCTACTTTCTATCTCCATGAATTTGGCAATTTAGGTATCTCACCTGACTAGGATCCTAAATTTTGCCACATATTACCCCTTAGTATCTGGCTTTCACTCAGCATAGTTTTAAAGGTTCACCCATGATATAACATATGCCATTCTCATTGCAAGATGGGTTCCTTTAAGGCACAGTTTATCTAAAGGAGTCAGGAAGAGCTGATTCTAAATGTCATATCTTAAAACAAGGGGATAGGAGGCATTGGGCTGGAGGGATAGCACAGCGGGTAGAGTGTTTGCCTTGCACACAGCCAAAATGGCCGACCCGAGTTCAATTCCTTCACCCCTCTCAGAGAGCCTAGCAAGCTACCAAGAGAATTTCGCCCACATGGCAAAGCCTGGCAAGCTACCCGTGACGTATTCTATATGCCAAACACAGGAACAACAAAGTCTCACAATGGAGACATTACTGGTGCCCGCTCGAGCAAATCAATGAACAATGGGAGGACAGTGACAGTGACAGGAGGCGTTGAATGATGACAAACCCTTGACCTTGGATCACAGAACTCAGATTACCAAGTAGATAGGGGAAGGTGTGTTGGCAGGGGCTTGGGAGGAAGTGGACTGGAGGTAACAGCAGGACTAGACACTTTGGTTATGGTGAGATATAGTAACCATATCTCAAAGCCATAAAAATTAACACTACTATAACCACATAACCTGAAGTACAAAACTCATAAAAATAATGAAATGTCTCAGGCCAGGAAGTCCCGAGGATGTTTGCTCATTTCCTATCACTTGGACTTTGTAAATTTCTTCTGGGCATGGAACATATTTAATTCGAACATACAAAGGAGTCTGATTCTTTATGTAGTTTTTTCACACTTCAAGGAGAAGATAAACAGTTGAAATTGACCCTGTGCCTGCTGTTGCCTGGAAGGTGGGTGGCCAAAGACATGAAAATAAGAGCCAAACTGCACTAAGGTAGCATAGTTTGTAAGCAGATTCTCAGGCTAGAATCTGTCTGTGGAAAACTTATGACCTGGTGGGAACAAAAGAGACTGAGTTTCCTATGACAAATAACGTTTCACCCAAGTAAAATGAGGTAGACACTAAATGATATAAATAGCAATATTATTGGATGTATTGTAAATGAATAAAAATGGGCTGAGGACCGCTTCCTTTGGGAAGAGGTACAGCTCAGTGACCACTGGCCTGGGATCTTGAGGTGGGTTGTCTGGATTTGAATCTCTGCTGGGTCTCTTAGCACCATTTTTTTTTTGTTTTTGGGCCACACCCATTAGGGCTCAGGGATTATTCCTGGCTATAAGCTCAGGGATAACTCCTGGAGGTGCTCAGGAGACCACATAGGGTGCTGGGGATGAAACACAGAATGGTTATCTGTCAGACAAGTGCCCTGCTTGGCATAATATCTCTTTGGCCCTCAGCACATTTTTGGCTGAAAAATGTTCTGGAATCTTTCTGTTCCTCAGTTTTCCCCTTCATAAAGTAAAGGTAATGGTAAGCCCTGTCCCAGTGGATTGTTCTATGGATGAAATTAATTGAATAAATCAAAACTTTCAGCATATGCCTGCCACATTAGAAGTGCTTAATAAGTGTTAGTGGTCAGTGATACTGCTGCTAATACTTGACATTTATCTTTCCTCTCAAAAAGGCTCTTAGGATCACAAAAGGCTCACAATGATTCTGATGATTCATGGCTAGGACAGGAAGGCAAGACAGAAGGCTGAAGTGTTTCTCTGAGAATTCCTCTGGACTCATGTTCTGATATTTAGAGCACCAGTAAGCAGGTTGGACAAGAAAGGAGCTGCCTGATGGGATATCAGACCCATTAACACAATGAGTACTTGTACAAGTAGATATCTGGGCCCTTTGTCCAGAAATTCTGATCCCGAAGGATTGGTATTGGTTTCAGAACTTTCCATGTTTAAGAATCTCACAGGTGAACCGGTGT